ATCAGAGTGGTTGCAAATGGCTTTGGAGGTTTCCAAAAGAAAATGAGAAATTATGGCACAGAGTGGTTGCAAGCATTCATGGCATGTCGAGCAACGGATAGGATGCTAGATGTCTCCGTAGGGCTAACTTGGCTGCTCCCTAGAAGGCCATCCATGATGTTCTCCCTACACTCCCAAGTTTTATCAGGTATGACTTGTCTACTGGTAGCAAAATCAGATTTTGGGAAGATGTGTGGATCGGGGATATTCCTTTGGGTGATAAATTTCCTTCTCTTTGTGACCTGTCCAGGTTTAAAAGTAAGCCTATTTCTGAGTTCCTAAGTCAACCATCTCACCTTCTAGGGTTGAATTGGAACTTTGTATTTAACAAGAACCTTAGAGAGTTTGAACTTCTTGCAATGTCCGAGCTGTTAGGATTGTTGAGTTCAGTTTGTTTGGGGGAAGATGGGTCAGATTCTAGAATTTGGGGTCCTAATGCCGAAGGGTCCTTTTCTTGTAAATCCTTTCTTCATTCGATGGTTGCCACACAATCTTCTTCTCATTTTCCAGTCAAAGAAATTTGGTGCCCTCCTTTCCCCCCCTAAAGTCAGTGCTTTTTGTTAGGAAGTTTCTCATGGTTGTATTAACACCTTTGATGTACTTCAAAGGAAAAGGCCAAACTGGTGCTTGTCCCCTAACTGGTGTGTCCTGTGTAAATTGAATGGTGAGACTGTTTTCCACCTTAGATTCTAGAATTTGGGGTCCTAATGCCGAAGGGTCCTTCTCTTGTAAATCCTTTCTTCATTCAATGGTTGCCACACAATCTTCTTCTCATTTTCCAGTCAAAGAAATTTGGTGCCCTACTATCCCCCCTAAAGTCGGTGCTTGTTGTAAGGAAGTTTCTCATGGTTGTATTAACACCTTTGATGTACTTCAAAGGAAAAGGCCAAACTAGTGCTTGTCCCCTAACTGGTGTGTCCTGTGTAAATTAAATGGTGAGACTGTTTTCCACCTTCTTACATCTTGCCCTTTTGTCAGTTTTATTTGGAATTGGTTTACTTCCCTTTTTGGGTGCAGGTGGTCCTCTCCTGACAGGGTGTAAGGCTTATTTAAAGGGAAGGATTCTTTGGAGATGCACTAGAGCAGCAATACTTTGGACCATCTGGGAGGAAAGAAACGATAGGATATTTGAAAGTAAAGAAAAATGTAAAGAAGCTTTATTTGAAACAATAACATTGAGGGTAGCTCATTGGGTAAAAAGTTTGAAGTCGTTTTCAGCTTTCAAGATTGAAGATTTTTTCAGGGTTTGGGGACTTAATGCTTCATCATCTATGAGWTGACAATTTGTTGAGACTTGGTCCCCTCCAACAGAGGGTTGGAAGAAGCTAAATTTTGATGGGATTGTGTGGGTAATCCAGGCCCTTCAGGTATTGGGGGGCCATTAGAGACAAAAATGGTTCCATCATTGCCCTTTACTCCGATCCTATGGAGGTAGGTGATGTGACAAGGGCAAAGTTTCTAGCTGCAGTATATGGGGTTGAGAAGGTTAAAGAGTTGGGGATCAATGGACTGATCATCGAGGGAGATTCAAAAACTATGATAAAATGGTTGCAGAAAGGGGAAGGGGTGACATGAGAGTTCAAGAATGAATTTAGAAGATTTAAATGGATGTCAAGTAACTTATCAATTCAGGTGAGATGGGTAAGGAGGTTTGCCAACAGTTTGGCAGATAGCTTAGCAAAGCAAGGGGTTCACAAAACAGATATGTTTTGGGCACCCTTGTAATTCTGTATTGGGTCAGCTTAATATGCCAATTTCTTTTGTAACTTATTGTTGTATCCTAAAGTATTTTAATCGATAAAAGTTTCAAAGTTATTGATCAAAAAATATATATATATATATATATATAATAAAATTATAGAAAATAATATATAATAAAAATATTATAATTCTTAATTTTTTAAATATCAAATAAAAAATATTTTTTATATATAATTTTTTATTTTTATAAAATATTTTTTCTCAAATCAAGCTCAAACTTATGAGTTTTTTACTCGAGCCGAGCTCGAGCTCGAACTCGAGCCTTATACAATCTTGGCGAGCCAAGCTCGAACCTCTGACTATTCGGCTCGACTCGAATCCACCCCTAGGCATATCATATCGTATCTTTAGGGGTCCGATACACCTATTTACAGGTGCTTTCCGAAACCCTTTTTTTAATTAATAATATATATAAATGTATATAAAATTGAAATTTAAAAAAAAAAACTAAAAAACATTAAAGGTGCATGGTTTAAAGTACCGATACACAAAGGTTTATTGATACTTTGAACCTTGCTCTCAACATCTATAAAATGATGTTTGTGGACTAAAAGAAAACAAGAACTTCAATTGTGAATATTCATCTAAGTAAAGAGAGCATGTTGTGAGCAAGAGCCCTTGCAAAAGAAGAATTCTCTGTGCTAAATCATTTAGGGTGTTCTAAGAAGTAAGCATTGATGCTGGTAAAAATAGCACCATGAAAGTCTATCTAGGTATAATCTATCAAAACAAAATAAGAAAAAGAAAGCCTATCCAAGTATAGCAAGCACCAGAAAGACCTACTAGTTTGTAAACACTTGACTGGCCCTTGGAAAGTCTGATTGGTTTGATTAGTGGAAATCTCAAGAGAAACCTAACACCTAAGTAAAGGACGTAGGCCAGGGTTGGCCAAACCTCTATAAAAATCTCTATGTGCTTTACTTTTTGTAAACGGCTGGCACTCGGAAAGTCTGGTTGGTTTGATTAGTGGAAATCTCAAGAGAAACCTAACACCTAAGTAGAGGACGTAAGCCAGGGTTGGCCAAACCTCTATAAAAATCTCTATGTGCTTTACTTTTCTTGCTTATTATTATTTATTTGATTGCATTATATTCTGCTACATTCACATAGCACACACAACCTTCACCTTTATTGTTCTTGCATTCATATCTTATAGAAGGCTATAGGTAAAAGGGGGAAAAGGTTTTCAAGTATCCAATTCACCCCCCCCCCCTCTTGGTTAGCTATCTGAGGCAACACCATCTAGGTACTTCACTTTTCTGGCCAAAGAAGATTGGAATAACCCAATTCCAACTAAAATAAGGGCATTTTGCTGGGAGGTGTTTCATGACAGGGAATTTATTCCTATGAATTGATTCAGGGAAAATAAACAGATTAGACTCTATCTCCACACATGTGCTCTCCTTGCTTGGCTAGTGAAAAGACCACTTAACATCTGCCAATCTCCTACCCTTTTATTGCTACCATTTGGGAATGCTTTCTATCATTGTATGGGTGTAGGTAGAACCCATCTCAGGATTTGGAAAGTATTTTCTCTCCATCCTATTCCCAATCAAGGAAGAGAGGAGGAAGGATTCTATGGAGATGTACAAGGGAAGCCATTAGACAGTTGAAGGAAAGGAATGGCAAATTTTTAGGGGGAGGAAATGTAATAGAAGTAACACTATTGATAATATAGAAATCAAGGTAGCAGATTGGGTAAAACTTTAAAAATTGTTTGAGATATTCTCCATGGACGAGCCAACAAGTCATTAGTTTTGGATAGCCAATTCTACTACAAAATAGACTAGCACATCATAGCGCAATGGAGATCACATGAAGATTACCATATTAAATTAAACTTTGGTGACACCATGACAGTAGTACAGGCAGCCCAGGTCCTTTTGGAAGAAGAAAATCAAAATTGAAATAAAAATGGATATTTAATCAGAGGAAGTGAAAGAAAGTGGATAGAAGAATCAAAACACAAGAGAGAAGAAGAATGGAAGAAAAAGGTGAAGGAGAAGAGTTGTTCATGAGGGGAAAAATAAATAAAAGGACCTTTTTAAGTGGTTTGAAGTTCAATCCAAAAGGGATGAGGTCCGTGAGGTAAGGGAAAGCATTGATGATTATCATCATATTGAGATGTGGGTAGATGGTAGACACCCTTCAGATGGTAAGAAGTTGAAGGTGATATAAAAGGTGGAGAAAATGGCATCTGATTATGGAACGTTCAGAAAATGACAATTTGAAGATCAAGCCCTGTAATTTTTGTATTATTAGCAGAGTTGGTTCTCTGTCATCTTTAAAACATTTTCTTGTTCATGTTGGTTTAGCAGATAAGATGTAACTTCGTTAGCATGTGCTTGTGAATCCAGGCAAAGGTAAAGAAGGTTTTCTGTAGCTTTTCTCTTGCTGTTCCGGTTGTTGTGTACGGTATTTTAGGTTACATTTTTATACAATGATGGGCGGCATAAGCTATCCTGTTGAGGCTTTTCCACTCTTCCCTAATTAGAAGTCACTGGCTGCGCCTTTGCACACATACCTKTCTATCAACATGTTCTTTTCTACTATTAAATGATGTATTTTTTACAGTTCGTTGGCATAAATAAAAAGAAATGATCGCAAGCACTATCTTGAGTACATGAAGCCTTTTCACTATTTCCACCAGCTAAAATAACAACACAAAGTAATGGAACAATGAATGATCTATTCTGACTCAAGAAGAATTAAAGTGGGAAGAACGAACTGAGAATATAATCATTGCCAGACACTGGGAAGTGGGAACATATAAGGCCCTAAATCGTTTCCTAATTTAAACTACAAATCAAAAAATAATAAGAGAACATGTTGGACAACTGAAATCAGAAAGAAGAAGAATAATCAACTTCGGATTATAATCCAACCAGTATCCAAATTCAAGCAGAGCAACAAAGAAATCCAAATCCAAATTCCCAAGGGAAAGCAAACACAACAAACTAATTCACTTCATCCCATACCCGCACGTTGTGATACAATAAATCTTAAATACATGAAGAAAACAAACTATCCCAAATTCATTTCTCTTCCTCTTCTCTTGTTTTTTCGGTGCATCATCCATTAGTACTTTAGAGTTTAGAAAAGAAAACTTGCAATGAACTTACTGACTACAAAACAAATATGTACAGATATACAGAGAGAAGATGAATCAAAACTGAGTTGTTGAATATAAAAGAACTCACAGGCAGATACAACAAATAAAAGCTTCGTCGATTTCCTTTTCTTCACCGTCACAATCTCTGCCTTCAGCATCCATGGGAACTCCAAAGGACACCATAGAAGAACCATTGGGTGTTTGCTTTTTGTTCATGCAGAACCTTCTTAAAACCCTCGCAAAAATAACGAGAAAAACAGAGATCGAAAGAAGAGATATCTCAGGGAGAATAAAATGGTCAAAATTTTTGGCCGCTGGCTGGTGGTGAGAGTTGTGTGGAGAAGAGACTCTGAAGATATCGGAACCCGGATCGGATCTGCTGACACCAAAAAGGCGTGATTAACAATACTGACAACATGTAACAAGTGTTCTCTTCAGATGCCACTCTTGTACGAAGAACATGATTTTTGTACTCGAGATTGTCGATGGCATTATTATAATATTGTAATATAATTTTTTATTTTTTTTATATTATTTGCCCAAAATTAATCGAATGAATTTATAAGCGTGTAAAAGTTAAATATAATATTCCTTCGACATTAAACTGTATTAATACAATACAAATAATCTTTTGTTAATTCGTGTATCATTTGTTTCCTTTTTGTGTGTTTGTTTTATTGCATAGGCTTATTCTCCTTTACGAGTGCCGCACGGGCCCAACGCGGAATTTTTTTTATTATTTCGGGATTTTATGTATGACTCCACTCTCTACTCCAGCGCAGAAAATAAAATTTTTTTGCGTCTAGCCTTGTACGGTGGCTGAAATGTCTCCCGTGTCCGGTTTAATAACGTGTAATTAAATTCAACTCCACCCCTGTACACGTAACGTTACCTATACTTTGACCAAAATGCCCCTCACGGTTGTTTCCTTGCTCGAGATTTCTTCTTCTCAAAACCACCTCTGTTGGTTCCTTCCAGTTGAGTCGTTGCTACGGGAACTAGTTCCGTTTTCATGGTCCCCGGTAGTTCTTCGTCCCTGAGTTTTCAACCCCACGGTGGAACTCCCTTATTAAGCGACATTATGTCTCCCTAACCGAGTGATGAGGGAAGCTGAGGAGAATTTGGTGGATCTACAATGACATTTACATTCGCCAAGGTGAAAATATACAGAGATAAGTGGTCGAGTCATCGAAAAAAGAAAGGTGAGTTCATCGGAAAAAGAAAATTAAAAGGAATGTGCTTTGTCAGCAGAATCTGTAGCCACACGTAAGAAAGAAATTAGAGGATTAGTTCTTGATCAAGAGAAATGAAGCTGAGCCTGAGAGAGCTTCAATCCCAACGTGAAATCATGTAGTTGCCTTTCAAAAAGAGCCGAAACGGGTTTGGAAAATTGTTCTCTTAGAGTAAGAACGACATTCATGTAGATAGTCAGTGAGGAAAAAGAAATAGTTTTTACGTGTTGTTGTAAAATCACACGGTATTGGTTTCTCAATGGTGAAGTGTTCCATTAATCAGCAACTATTAATACTATTGTATGAAGTTAATCCAACATCTATTAATTTCAAAAACAAAAAGCACGATTTCTCTCCTTGAAGTTGTACCAGAAGGGCATAAGGTTGTCTAAACTAACATCAAGGATCGGCCCTAGGACCACCACAAAGTCGTAAGGTGAAGTCTCTCGATGCAATGGTGCGAAGCGGGGGTGGTTCAGACATATGGATCGGTCTGATGGAGCAAAACAGAGGTTTATAGAACCTTGGTTTCTCTTCTTCGAGCAAGACTGTCGAGAGTTTATTAGGTTGGATGGACTGAGAATGTCCTTTAGGCAAGTTTTCTAGCTGCCACTGCAAGCTACTTCAATTCTCCTGTCATAGGCATGATAGAGACTAGTATACAAAGAAGCAACCATGGAAGTAAGGTTCATCTTAAAACATTAAATGACCTTTTCACAAGCACCATCTAATCTGGACTTGAAAACAAGGAACTATGTGCAGATTGCTTTCCAAAGTATGTTCATCCATATGATAGAACACCGATAACTAACTTATCCAAAACTGACTCTGTTAGATCTGGATCGTGACAAGGGTTCCTCTTGATAAGCTTATCATGATAAAACTTATCCCTGTATAGTTTATCACAGTAGTTTTCTTGTTTATCTATAACTCTACTTGTAAATTACTGTTTATCTATAACTCAGTTTTATCTCAGTAATTCTCTTGTTCAAACTTGGTATCAGAGCCATCTCGACTGGTTCAAACAACAATAGCACCGACTCCATGTTCTCAAATGCACAAGGCGGTGAACTCAGTTCTTCGGCTACTACAAGTCCTATACCCTCCATGCAGAACGTGATGCACCATCTGCCAATCAAGTTGACTACAGACAAATGTTTATTACGGAGGGCGCGATTTCTACCCATCCTTCGTCATCACCATCTAGTGGAGTTCGTCAAAGGCAAAAAGAAACCACCACCAGAAGAGGTTCCTAATCCCACTGGTTCAGGGAGCATGCGGAACCCAGAGTTCGACAAATGGATGGATCTTGATCAGCTTGTTCTCAGCTGACTGATCTCATCCCTCACCGAAAGCGTAATGGGACATATCGTGGGTCTGACATCCTCAGGCCGAATTCTGGAGTGCTTTGGCTCAGAGTTACTTAACACACTCTCAATCAAGGGTACTTCAACTGAAGAGGCAACTTCAAAATCTCAAGAAGGGATCACAGTCTATCTCAGCCTACATTCAACGTGCCAACTCAATTGCAGATAGCCATTACACTATTTCAAAACCGATTTCGAAGTCAAAACTTGTTCTCTACATCCTTGTTGGTTTGGGTAGCGAGTACAAATCAGTAGTGACCACTCTCACCAATCGTCCAGACGCAGCAGATCTCAGCATCTCAGAGGTACTCGACTCTTTACTCAATCATGAATCTTGAAGATCATGCCCGATTTTCTGAATCTCCTAATGCCAATCTTGCCGGACTTAGAGTCAAGGGAAATAACAACTCTCAGCACAATAAGCAACAACGGCAACTGTTTTACACTATGTCTAAGGGAGGCGGTCGTGGATGCGGAAACGTTGAGTACAATCATCATCATCAATTCTTTGAGAATAATTTTCCTAATCAACAACAACAATTTAATGGAGGTGGTCGTGGAGGTAAGAAATCTGGAATTATTTGTCAAATCTGCAACAAGATAGGACATAGTGCCCTTCAATGCCGCTGTGCACATTATATTTTCAGTCTTCAAAATGACTCTTACAATGAACCAGCAGCTTCTCATGGAGGGGTTAGTTCTCCCCAAATGCAATTTGTAAATCCAAATAATGGTAGTGCTCCCTCGTTTGATCGAACATGGTATCCGAACTCAGATGCTACTCACATGACACCAGAATTGGATAATTTACAAAACGGATCTAAGTATGTGGGATCAAATCAAGTCAAAATTGGTAATGGACAAGGTTTGTGCATACATCATATTGGTCCATTGTCTCTTTTATTTGATCAGCATGCTTTTACATTAAAGGATATCTGCCATGTTCCATCTATTTGCAAGAATTTATTATTCGGCGTTGCTCCAAGCCATGCCTTCCCGATTTTCAAGGCATGGCTTGGGACATTATTTTTTATAGAAAAATGGTTCCAAACAAATACACGTTTTTTGAAGCACCGTTTTTTCTAACATGGCACTGATGTGATGTCGTTTTCTCGAGCAACAACATCGATGCCAAACAGATGTTGTACCTCATAGTTACAAAGCCGGACATTCTCTACAGTGTCAACATTCTAAGTCATTTTGTCTCCAAACCTCATACTTCTCACTGGAATGCTGCCCTTTGGGTTGTTCGTTACATCAAATCCTCCCCAAGCATCTGCATTATTCTACCTTCCACCTCTGGTTTACAGTTGGAGAGACTAGAAAGACTCAAATTGAGCTTCTTGCCCTACTACACACCACTCTCTCTCCGGCTACTGCATTTTTTTGGGTTATAGCCCCGTCAAGTGAAAACAACCATTCGTTTCTTGGTCATCAGCTGATGCCAAATACTGGGCCATGGCCTACACTGTCTATGAATTGTAGTGGTTGCAATATCTTATCTTTGATTTGGGCATTTCCCCTCAATACCGCTACCATGTTTTGTGATAATTAGTCCGCTATGCAAATTGCARCCAATCCCATTTATCATGAAAGAACCAAACACATTGAACTTGATTGCCATCTCATGCAAGAGAAGATAAGGCACGCAAGGCTTTATGGGATGACTCAAGCGAGAGTGAAGAGAAAACCAAGAGGCTGAATATGAAGAAGTAAATCTAAAGCAAGAGGCTGAATATGAAAATTTCATATGATGATTTATTAAATGCATTTGAGGAACCACTTAGAGAAAGCATTAAGACTTCATACAAGAATAGATATTTAAGGGCTAAAAATGAAATTTTCTCTAAGCGAGTTGGAAGCTTGAAAAACAAAATATAATTTTTGCACCATCAAATCTTGAATTGAAAAATAAAAATGAGAGCTTGAAAAGACAAAATATTTTACTATCATCCTCAAACAATGAGATTAATTTCTTAAAAAAGAACAGATAATTTGCAAAATATTGTGAATAAGTTTACTCAAGGTAAGCAAAACTTGGATAAAAATGTTTGGAAATCAAAGAATGGTTTTGACTTTTGATAAAGAAGGATTAGGCTACAAAAATTCATCTAAGCAATCTAATATAAAGAATCATCTTGTCAAAGCATCAGCATCTTCTAGCATTCTTTCAATTACATGTCCTATTGTGGTAGGAAGGGGCATATAAACTTTCATTACATGTTTATGAACAGAAACATCTGTCAAGGGAGAGTTTTTCCCACCTTTTGATGATGTCAAAAAGGGGAGAAGAATAGATCAAAATAAATTCCCACATTTTTGCGAGAATGGTTTGGTTATGCATGGGGGAGAAGGATAGCAAACCTTGTCATGGTTTAATTCTTGAATACATATAGGTTTGATTTTTTTTTTTAAAACAAAAAGGAAAGAGGAGAAGAGCTTATCTAGAGAAAAAGGAATGAAAAATACTGCTCAAGAGAGATTTCAAAACTGAGAAAAAAGTAGGAAAATGAGTCAAAAAACCTTTCGATCAAATTCAGTCCTATTTAGAGTCTATAAATCAGCTAAAGAAAATGGATTAAGGACTCAAAAGGATGAATAGTGAGGAGATGATTCTAGAGTTATAAGGAGTCATCTCCCAAGTAAAAAATTCGAGCAAAATTCTCCAGGGGGTTATTTTCCAAGGGTTGAAGAGATGACTTAAGGCTGTGTTTAGTTTGAAGGAAAAGGTAGGGAAAGGAAGGGAAACCTTTACAAATCTTGTAGTAGATTTCCCTGTCTTTTCCTTTCTTTCCCTACCTTTTCCTTCAAACCAAACACAGCCGAAGGGAAATGCTCTGTTTTTATAACCGTTTAAACCCGCATTAAATGCTTTGATTTAAAAAGCATTAAATGCTCTAACCTTTTGATAATCGCTAATGATTAATAATTAGCCACACAAGCGGATTTGAACCGAAATACAACTTCTTCTTGAACTAAAATATATGATTGTTAAAAGAAGAAAATATAGGAGGAATTTTTTTAAACTCTTAGCTAAATAAACTTTGATTCTTTACTAAGTTCTTTAAGCCCAAGTTCTAGAAYATAAGTTGAAGAGTTTTGTATTGTATTTTCATATCAAATCTAACAAGGGATTCAAGCTACTCTCTTGTGTAAATACATCTTTGTGTTTGAAAAGGTTGGAATGGTGTGCTATTTCAAGGATAGAAGCAGTGTTTGTAATCACTATTGTGAATAGTGTTTTAGAACTCTCATCGTGACATCCTTGTGGAGAGAATATAGACTTGGTTGGTCGAACTTGTATAAATCCTTTGCAATTCGTTATCTTTTCTATTCTGAATTCTAATACCTTTATTCTCAACTTTATTTAATATATCTGCTGCTCGCAGAGCATGCCTTGCCACATCCTCATAGTGCATCACAACCTTGCGTTGGGAATATCTTCTCATGAATGATAATATCATGTGCAGGAGATGTTCTCAATACACGACTGCAATGCACTATGAGGTTGGTGTGATGCACACTCTGTGAGGAGCAGATCTCATCTCCCACTTGAACACCAACGCAGCACTATAGGTATTTAGGCTAAGGTAATATTTACAATTGCGTTCATTGAACATTTATAAATATCTTTCAGGTTTAACATTGGAGTTTTGAAAACTGAATTTCAAAAGTGGTAAAAACCCAATTCACCCCTATTAGGTTAAAAGGGACAACCAGCTATACTCAACAAATGGATACTTAAAAAGGGAAAGGGAACAAAAGCTATCACTGAGGTCATAGTCCACTAGGAGGTACATCAAAATAGATTCTGCGTCATAAAGATGGGATGATCTTGTGTGAAAGTTTGTAGACTTTAGCCAAGAGAACAAGGCCAGTCTTAGGATTAGCTAAATACAATAACTTCTTAGCAGGCTGTGGAACTAATAATAACACTCACACCAGTCATAAAATACATGGGGGCCACAACCATTCATCCTCTCAACGAGCCCCTTGTATTTTGTCATTGGTGTGGGGCATTATCATTATTTCCACAGCTTGCTACACAGCTAAAGAGTTCAACTAATGCAAATTAGTCTCAAGGGAGGGGGATTAATATAAACCACCAATAATGTTTGCCTATTTAAGGCTACGTTTGGAAATGATGTAAAACACCATTGGTGTAAAAGTACATCGATGACATTTTACATCGAACCATTAATAAAATAACTGTTTGAATTTCAAAAATTGTGCTGAAAAAAGTGAGTTTTACATCGGTTTTATCGATGTAATACTTGCATCTATAATTGATATAAAACTCTGCTTTAATGAACCTTTACATCGATTTACGACGTAAAACCCTACTCCACCCAAATGTATGCAAAACTGAATCAGAATGGAGTTTTACATCAATCATGATTACACACTCCTTCCAAATATCGACAAAATTGTACATCGGTTCCAAAAGCAGCCTAAGAGAAATATCTATCTAGCCCATCAAGTATTCAATGCCAGTACATGATCCAATGAATGGGTTACTTGATCGTTAGTATTTCAATCATAAGCAATCGTATCCAAACCATTGAAATTGTCAATTTGACAAGTTAGTTGCAACAACCTATAGAATGTAACCAACTCTGATCATCCAATTGGGGAAGAGTGCAAATACAATATTTAGAAATATAAAATAGAAGGTTTTGCACTGATCATATTTCTATTTGCACTATTTACAAACTCAGCGTGTAAAGAACGATTCATTTATCCTAATTTCCCTTCTTTGGTTTCCTTTCACACAAACAGGCTACCATCACTTTATGGGCGGTGATTGTTCACTGTCAAGGAAATCCCCGATTCTCTTATAGAAGAAATCCATGGATACCGTGATTTCATTACATAGTCTCCATGACTTCAGCATTGATTCAATCCCATGGATTTGGATTTTGGAGAACAATGCAACTTACCCACTAGGTCATTAAGCAATTTCTGTCTTTCCTTTCCGTTGCACATTTGCACTAAACCTATCTTCGTTAAAACTAGCCTAAAGAGATCGGTAACAGTTCTAGGTTTGATTCACTTTGGCTCATCTGTATGCACCTTTGGGTTTTGATTGATCAAAACTCTTCAGATACCATATCTTTCCCACATCATAGATTTCCATGAATCTTTCCTCACACTGACCAATGAGATGATTCCACATAAAAGGATAGTCCACAACATCAGATTAAGAGGAAAATTAAGCCCTAAACAAGAAATAATCCTCCATCAAGGTTAGATCATTAAGGTGGGCATCAAAGTAGAAGAGCAAGTAGGGCGGGCTAAACCAGGTTAATATCAACCCAGGCCGAACCCTAAGATTTGGGCCTAAAACCTGAACCCAGTCCGAGCCCAAGGTTAATCCTAACCTTCCCAACCCAAACCCAGCCCAAGGACCCAAAATCTAAACCCAGCCCGTGCAATATTCAGGCTGGCTCAGGATGGGCCCACCGAAGTTGCACTCCTACATCAAGGTCAATTTGGACGCCCCCCACTTTGGTGGGACTTCCAATCTTGTTCACAATTAAACTTCCTTGTTAATAATTGTTGTGGACCATCCTTTTATTCGGGATCATCTCATTGGTTGACTTGAGAATACACTCCTACAGAATTACAGATATATAATCCCAACAGCCCGTAACAACTAACGAACAGTTCCTGTCTAAAAACGAATAGCAATTTACTGTTTCTCATAATCATGCTCGGATTCCTGTGAAAGGAAAAAAACATAAATGTTTCTTTAGATCACAAAGAAACCTAGTTATTAAGGTGGTTGTGACTTGAGTTCCTTAATAATCTGGAGATCACCCTGACGGCAATCTTGGTTCATTAGGCTATGTTTGGTCTGAAGGAGAAGGTAGGTAAATCTATACAAGGTTTGTAACTTTGTACAGGTTTTCCTTCATTTTCCTTCAAATCAAACACAGCCTTAAGGATTTGAGAGAGTTTGTGCCTGTAAAGACCGAACCTAAATAAACACAAAGGAGAATGAAAATCGTTTTCCAATAATTTCTTTGCAGAGAAACTCGGAGTAATATTGCCTACTCCAGAAAYTTTTTCCTAGAGAGCAAGCAAAGCTTGAGCCAATGTTGTTGGACGACAAAAGAGGGGCAATCTGTAAAAACGTAGAAGGGCTTTTGGCTTATCAAATGTAGGAGGCTATTTGGCTTAAGTGTGCAATTTTTCCTTTCTTAATTTTTCCTATATTTCTGTTCAAATAATATTAGCACCCACACTTTGCTGCTGCACATACACCTCTTGACCCCCAAGTACCGTCCCAAAAAAGTATAGAAACCCCCACCCAATTTATTAAATTTAATTTAAAAGGCTAAAAGAAGAATGAGAGAGAGAGAGAGGAGGGGGGCATAAAAAGAAGGTAAAAAGAAAAAAAAAGACACGATTTCACAATTTTGGGATCCCCTAGATTGGGGCAACGCTAGCTGTTTCTGAGGGAGAGATCCAAACACCCAACTTATTTCCAAAGCTTGACGGATTTGTCGTGGCTTGCTGAAGCAACCATCCCTGTTACCGGTGACTGTGCCAAAGCAGCAATAACACCTTCATGTGCTGGAATTGTCATGCTCTTGTTCTCAGCCATGTTCCACAACTCCAGTGACTGCATCACAACCCCACCCATTACAAAAAGTAGAATGAATAACACTCAAAATAATGTCATTGATGGGTATACCCTGTGAAGCAAGCAGATTCACAGAATATGATATGCTCCATCCATACCCATATTTTATGGGTTTGGACAATGAAAAATCTATTCATAATTAGCTGGAAACGAAATCAATATTCATCAAAACAAAATTTAGACCCAATCTGGGTCTCACCAAGTGTTTCCCATGGGCTAACCCCCGTTGTATAGCCCTTCGGAGCAAAAAAAATGTGTTTCCCTTTAGAACCCTACCAGGGTAAACACAAATAGGTAGCCTCTGAACCCTCTCTTATCAAGCAAGAGATTGCTCATTGAAATATGAACTCATCAGGTTGGATTCGAGTCACTAGGGCTTTTTTTTTGTATTGAGTCACTAGGGCTTACAGAAGGAATTAATGCTGGTGCAGACTCATTGCGCAACAAACCAGCAAATCTCCAAAATTTCTTGTCCCCTCATCTTCAAACTCTGGGTTTGGTTGGAATTTGGGGTTGAGGGCTGTTAGAGACACAGACTTGAACAGCATTTCAACTCTCCTTGGTCTTCTTGAAAATGTTTTCTTGTACCCTGAAAAGGATGACACTGGAATCTGGACCCCACCCTCGGGATCTTTTTCTTGCACCTCTTTCTTTGAAGTCCTTACCCAGCCCACCAGACCCATTAACCCTTCTTTCCCTGTTAAAGAGATTTGGTGTAAGCCAATTCCTCCTAGGATTGGGAGTTTCTGTTGGGAAACTTCTCTGGAAAGAATCAACGCAAGTGATTTGTTCCAAAAGAAGAGATCCAAGACATGCTTATCCCCTCACTGGTGTGTTCTCTGTAAAGCTGATGGGGAGACTGGTTTTCACCTTTTGGTCTCTTGCCAGTTTGCAAGAACTAATAGGGAATGAGCATTGTCCCTTTTTTGATGCAGMTGGACCCCCACTGAACTTTCAGAGTTTATTTTCTTCTTCCTTTCTCAGGTGGCAGCCGAGAAGGGGCAACAGGACTATGTGGAGATGCTCAAGGGCTGTGGTGTGCTGGTCATTGTGGGAAGAAAGGAGTTAAGGATTTTCTCAGAAAAGGAGAGAAGGGCTGAAAACTTGATAGATTTGATTCATGTGAGGGTGGTACAGTGGTTGAAATCTTCAGAGTTGTTAATAGACTTTACAGTGGATGATCTGCTGAGAAAATGGGGAGAGATTGCCAAGTGTAGTAGTAGTAGAGGGAACCCGGTGCTGTCAGGAATTGGGGGTGTGTTTAGGGACGAGAATGGGACTGTTTCTGCCTTGTTCTCAGGCCCAATTGGGACAGGTGATTCTCTCAGAGCTAAAATCTATGATGTTGTGGAAGGTGTCCAAAGAGCTAAGGAAATGAACATTAGAAGACTTGTAATTGAAGGGGACTCAGAGCTGGTAGTAGGGTGGCTGAAAGATGACAGTGATGGGTTATGGGCTTACAACAATGAAAAGAAAAAGTACAGGTGGATGGTTAAGGACATGGATGTCAAACTCAGCTGGGTGAAGAGATCTGCTAACTCCTTTGCTGATAGGTTAGTAAAGCAGGGGGTGGGTAGGGAACCTATCTTCTGGGCTCAGTTGTAATTTCAGTTTTTGTGGGGCTCTAGCCTCAGTTGGGAGTTAAGAAAGTTTAGCTCCCCCTCCTTGTACCTTATTGTTCAGATTGTTTGATCAAAGTCCAGTATTCAAGTTGTAAGAGGTTAAGAGCATAGGCCTGCAAAACCCCTAGACCCCCAAGCTCCATACACTCAGCTGACCAGACTGGAGCCCAGACCAAGTTGCCCTGGTCCAACCAAGGTTTAAGGTATCGATACTTTTTAGCCCACACTTTTAATTTAGTTTTTTTTTCAAAATTTCAGTTTTACAGATATTTTAAGATTGTTTAATAATTAAAAACATCAGTTTCCTGAAAACACCTTCAAATTGGTGTATCGGAAACCCCAATGTTTAGAAAACCAGACCAGACCAGCAGGTCGGACTGATTGAACCATGACCAGCCCTTGGCAGGTTCGGTCATACCCCCAAAACTGCATTGGGTAAAAAACCGGCCAAAATCGCTGACCCAGATGGTCGAATCGGAAAACCGGTGACCCAGTCCTGGCTTTAGAAAACTGGCCAGTTTTTTGAAATTTTTTAGAACACAAATGCGAACTTCTAAAATCCATAAGTTTGCGATCGGAGGTCTGATTGGGGTGGTCTTTTTTTATTTTGGATTATTTTTCGAAATCTACATGTTTCCAAGGGCCAAAGGCGCCTTGCCCCCTATGATTTTTTATAAAAAAACGCTTTTTTTCCTCAAATCCTAATTTTTAATATAAAAATTGAAACTAAAATAAAAAAATATATGTTATAGAAGAAATATAATTATATATTTTAAATATATGCATATAATTAATATTATTATGTATATAATTGTATATCATGTAATTGTGCATATTATATACTATATATTATATAAATTATATACATTACATTATAATATAAAAATATGTTGTAACAGAATATAATTATATATTTTGAATATATTATAATTATTCAATACATATATATATATATGGGGGGCTAGGTTTTGCATGCCCCGTCCCCAACCCCAAACTCAAATGCCCCACCTCGAACCCCACCGGGGCTACAAATCTTAACCAGTAACCCCAACTCGGTCATTCCTACTTGCATATTTGCAATTTTTTTATTTTTTAAACATACCTAGAACAATTTTATATTATGTAACATAACATAGTATAATATAACATATATTAACATAAATTAATTGTGTGTGTGTGTGTTTGGGGCTGGGTGGACAAATACCATCCTTGCTCAGTCCCCGATCCCTAGAGTTTCAGGCTTCCCCGAAACACACCCTGAACCCAAATCAGTGGTCAAAAAACCCGGATGGGTCAAATTGTCATCTCTAATATTACATCATCCCGGTTCGACCCTGGTTAAACCTCTGACTCATGAACCTCTCCCTTTTTCGGGCTGATGCTTACTCCGGTTCTCTGAACATTAAGAAACCCAAACATACAATACGATACACCCAATACATGATCATATCAATACTTTGAACCTAGGGTCCAACCCGAGACAGTAGGCCAAGTCACTTGGTCAAAGCTATCTACACCAACTTAGCATCAATAACGTTCTAGAAGGGAGAAAATAATATAAATAGGGGCCCCATAACCAAATGGGGACCCAAGAACAATTTCTGGGGAGGGATCCACTCTCCCTCTCCCCCTCACATATCATATTGATACTTTGAACCTTGGGTCCAACCCAAGGCAATAGGCCAAGTCACTTGGTCAAAGCTATGTAAACCAACCTAGCATCCTGAGCATTCTAGAAGGGAGAAATAATATAAATAGGGGCCCAATGCCCAAATGGGGATCCAAAGACCCCTTTCTAGGGAGGGATCCAGTTTCTCTCTCTCTCTCTCACAGACTTAGAGCTCCGCCTTTCCTGATTGTCATTCCTCGAACATTCAGAGCTCAGCCATCCATGCAATGTCCACCGTGCTTACACAAGTATTTGGGGGAATGGTAAGCAAGTTGAGGGATAGATATGGGTCATTCTAATTCATCTTTCTTTAATTTTGGGTGACCAGATGCATTTAACATGCCTGAAATGTACAATAGGGACTGGACTTGGATTTCATGTAGGGACCAGAGAGAGTGAGGACCATAAGATGAAACATTCCCACATCAACTGCAAGATAGAACTCTCATGTACTTGAAATCCATTCAACATGCAAAAGACATGTCCACCMRRGTGCACATATCTTTGGAGTTTGGAATGTCTTCTGGGGTGTAACCCATGAAAAACTGTAGGAATGCAGCATGAAGAGAGATGTTCCTTGAGCACAGTGGATCTACAGTAGAATCTGATCCACTTAATGCCATACCCCCAGCCCCAGGGAACTCCAGCAATGGATGCTACATGGCATGACAATTACAATTGTTCAGCACGTAGGAATGCAGCATGTCTCCACAGAAGTGCAACATAAATGCTGTTGCAATATACCACCGTGCTAATAATATTCAAATTGAATCTCATATAGCAAAGACATATAAATTTCATAGTGGTAATAGTACACCATACCTGATAACCCCCAATCACCAAGAGAGAATGATAAGTTGGATGAAAAACACAGGAATGGAACTTGTTTGCATTGGAATTAAGCTCATGCAAGCACTCCCCTGTATTTACTGACCACACCCTTACGGAATCTTGGCTGACAGATGCCAAAAGATCTCCATTTGCATCCCAGCAAACAGAATGTACTTCCTTGGAATGCCCCTGAGAACAAAACCAAGTGGTAAATAAAAATCAACTACAAATAGAGATGTAACGACCACTCCAATATAAATAGACAGTGCATCACAAAAGCACAGTTTTCAAAACTGGACCGGACTGGAAAAACCAGGAACCAGTCAGGTGGCTGGTTTCATTTTTCCCCAAAACCAGGATTTCTCAAAAAAACGTTGATTTTAGTCAGCAAACCACTGACCCGGGCGATTAACCGTTCGAACCGCTCGAACGATTTTGACCTTTTTTTATTTTTTTTAATTCTTTTTTTTGTCAGAACGGGCCAACCGTTCAACCCGGTAACCGGACCCCTGACCGGTTCGGTCTCCAGGTCAGTTTTAAAAACCATGAACTAAAGAGTGGCATTTTTCAACCTTTTAGAAGCTAACAAAATGTAGTTGTGCTTTTAGACTACCTGAAATGCATTTATCTGCCTGTCAGTCTCAACATCAAAGATAGACACAATGTTATCTGCTGCAGCTGCCAATAGTTGCCCAATTCTTGGTTGAAATCTCACTTGTGCTGTACCTCCCTACTCCAATAAACAACAGTTAGACTTAGAAGCAAAAAAAACAAAAAGAACCAAGTATCACACACGCAGGTGAAGGTTCAGGGACAAACCTTGGAGACACGAGTGCATAAATATTGACTGATATTCCAAAAGCGAATTTCATTATTGCCATCGCAAGAGCAGAAAAGATCAGTCTTCTTAGGGTGGAAATCTAGTGACATCACATGTGAACTGTGTCCAGTGTAAGCATGTAAACAGTAGCTTGGCTGCAAAAATAAATTGAATCTGTGAAGATTATATCTAGATATAAACTAGTCTTCTATTTAGATGGACAAAGGATGGTAAAGGCTGTGAAAAATCTGTGTCAAAGCAATGGAACCAATATGGTAAGAATAAAATTCTATCAACCTCCTACTAATTCTTAGATTTTAGCACAAAAATGATAATGAAATTGAAAAAGAAAAGTTAGTTTAGATTCAACAGTTCTAATTTTAATGAAAAGGGCAATTAGGTGAACAGACTCCTGCCAATTGGCCATGCACTAATGTATCTTCGAGATGGTTTTGTACATCATGGTATTGTACAGTCTGTCAGAACAGAAAGAAAGTACACCAATATGGTTGTGTTTTGGAACAATAAATTCTTTAGCCTCATGGTGTTCTATAGCAAATGCTCAAAACTGGACAATAAGAGAATGACTAGAAGCTGCACGTACAAAAATCAACTTATTTGAGAGATAACAAAAAGAGAAGGCATGGATTACAGACAGGTTCTTTCTCAGATTTACAAACCATTGGCAGAGTAAAAGAAGAGGAAGATGGAACAGAAACCAATAGCTACAAAATAAATACAGAAACAGAAAAGCAATCAATTTAGACGAGAAAGTGTTACATAAAAGAAAGAAGTTGAAATCCTTACTTCTGCTGCATTCCATAGGCGCACAGTTCGATCGAATGAGCATGTTGCTAGGTGAGTTGAATTCGGTCTAAAACGAATATCTGTAATTATAAGTGTATGTTCTTCTGGAGTGCTCTCTGTCTGCAGTGTATCCATGTTCCAAAGAACAGCCTACTGACATGAAAGACAAATAAGTATCCACTTATTTTTTGTTTAGTGTTTTCCACACCTTATATATGATAAGGAAAGTAGTATAATCAACAGATCAAAAGAAAGAAGAGAACATGACTTAGTTTGATATGAAGTCCTACAGTCACAACAGGTAAACAAAACTGCAGGTGGTCCCAGAGAAGAAAGATAATGCCTTCCACAGTTATCGCTCATTAAATAGGCAAAGGAGCAGTACCTTCTTCTCATGGCCAGCACTAGCCAATAGTTTCCCATCTGATGAGAAATGACAACAGACAACTTTACTGTTGCTTGTCCGAATACAACCAACTTCACTGAAAGTAAAACCTGCAATAGTGAATCTGAATATGGTAAAGTTACAGTTAACCCAAACAATCATGTTAATAGTGGATGGATAAAAAATAAATACCCTTGGACTCTGTATTGTGGTCAGTAGGACTTCGTTTTATTGTGCTAAATAAGTCCCTCCCATCTCCATCATCATGCGAGAGAAATGATTCCACATTATCATCCAAGGAACCTACATCTCCAAAATGTTCCATATCTTCCTGTCGTATGTAAGGATGTTATAAGAAGCAAGACAGAAAGTGAATAGACTGATTCCTAAGATATGCAACATACAGGTAACTGTATGAACATTGCAGATATAAACTGACAAGACACTAACTCTGATAATACCCAAGAGGTCAAAACACTTGATTTATAAATTAATCATACCTCAAAGCTCAAATTGTTTACCATATGAAAAAACAACATTAAATTCTTGTTTTTAGGCTGGTAAATAAGCCAACATTATGAAGGTATATAGATACAATATAATAAGCAATATAGACTAGGAAGCAACTTAGATGAGTTTATCAAAATGCCCCCATGCTCATAACATGTCTGAATTCTGACAGAACTGCTTGTAATGCATATCTAACAAAAAGTAAAATATTACTTCTGAACTTGGTGCAAGTGTTTAAAAAAATTACTTCTAAACTTGGTGTAAGTGTTACATGTATGAAGTAAACGAGAAATTTTATTTAGTATACCAGCTGATTTGAAGAAGATGCAAGACCAGCTGTCCCATCTGGACCATACATCATCAAGCTTTTCTGCATATTGTTAACATGCTGTAATCCACTGGTCATAGCCACTGCATCGCCAGGTGTGTGAGTTGATGGGGTTGAGGGCTGTGAGTTGGGGGAAGGGCCAACTGTGTTTCCCGTGCCAGTACTATTAGCAGCCCCAGAAGAAGTAGGCTGTTTCCTTTTTCTATTATTCTGTTATACGATAAAAAACTACTACATTAATGAGATTAACCAAACAAAGAATATCTTTTAAATGATATTAACTAGAAGGGCCTTTTGCACCTATGACTTTCACAGTAATTAGGTTTTTACATAACTGGTGCACAGACAAATCATCTGATAGCTAAACAGGATCGTGCAAAGCAAAACAAAGATACATAGACTATACCAATCTACAGAAACATGATGAGAAGTGCAAAAGGCATAGATGAAAATTGCTTCAAGGAAAGGATTTGTATCATCACCTAGAATGTTAACTGCAACTATAAAATCCTTATTAGGTTTAGATGTGAGTAACACAACCTGTTGTAATTGTTGCTGTTGGAGCTGGTCCTGCTGTTGTTGAGAGGACTGTTGCATCTGAGGCATCTTCATCTGTTTAAAGTAACCAATGACTCAAAAAGATGTCATAGAAAAAGCACCTTAAAACTAATTACCTTCTCAAATTCAATGGTTCTACAAATTTGTAGTTTTTAGTGATGAAAATTCAAGCTATGAGTATTCAGGACAAAAAGAAAGCATTTTGAAGACAATATATTCTTATTATTTTTGCCTAATATGTCCAAACATTTCCACATGTTTTATGGTAAGTATTTGTTTGACCCCCCCCCCCCCTTTTTCTTCTCCACCCTCCAAGCGCATACTAGTAGATGGTTAACAACAAATACATGGTTTTTACTGATAGTTTTTACCAACTCAGTTTTCAAGCAACTTGTTGCGAAGGATAGAGAGGAGTTAGAGACAGAGAAGAAGAAAAATAGCAAGAGGAATGTCCTACTGTTTAGTAAGATTTTGTCTAGTCTAAAAAAAGTTAAAAAGAAGCATAGTAAGCTTGAAAGAGGAATATCTGCAGCTCCAAGAGAGAGGAGCAGAAGAGGTATAGAAAAAAATAAAATAAAAATGGATATGGTATCAATCAATTTTTTTTCAGGTAATTGAGGATCATATGATTATGAGTAGTTGTTAGAATAGAGGTGGAAGTGGCCTTAGCAGATCAATCTTGGAACTTCTAGGTTGGGCTTACTTGGTGTATTTATTTGTTACAAACATACATATATATATACATATATACATACATATATATGTATATATATACATATATAGATAGATATAGATATATATGACATGCCACACTAAACTTATTCTAAATCTCCATAAATGCTGACCTTCATCAGATACTCTGCTTGATCCTGGGAGGGTACTCTAACATTTGGTGAAGTTGATTGAATAGGAGAACCTATAGATCCATCAGTTCCTGCAGGTTGACCCTCTTTTGTGTTTAAGTTTCCCCTAGGCAAAACCCTTAATCTCCGGGGATCCATGTCTCCATAGCTAGGGGAACTACCAATGTTGCCTTGTGCCTGAGCCTGGGCTAGGAGCTGCTGTTGTTGTTGTGGGGTCAAAAGTTGAAACTGGCTTGGGGTCTGTAGAAAAGGTTTCTGTACTTGTGTTCCTAAAGCTGGTCGTAATTGGTCAATACCCTGCATGATTTGTTAATAACCAGTCAGAATGTTGAATATTCAAACTTAAAACATCAATGCTTGGCATCCTCAGAGGGGGCCAGGAGAAAGGGAGGCTCCAATATGTAACTTACTGTTAGAGGCCAACCCTTTAAAGGAAGCCCACTGACACCTTGACTCAATCCTGAAAAGAGAGGAGAAACTACACGTATCAGTTTCTGCCAAAGGTTAATAACCACAAGTTGACCCAAAGTTGTAACCATTCTCTGATTCATTCATTATAATCAATCCTTTGCTGATAAAAATAAGTCCAAGTTGGCTCCAGAATCCACCGATGGACTTCAGAGTTTAATTGGTCTAAGATTGTGCCAAAAATTAATCACAGTTTGAGTTCCTGTAATTTAAAAGACAAGTTTTGGAAGAAATCTTTTATCAGGGTGTTGACATTGCATTATTACTTCAACAATACTAATTGAAAAATCTAGTCTCAGATCAACAAAGCAAGTGAACAAAATCTCAAACTGGTTCAGTTTTTACCCAGTTTGGTTCTTTGGTTCTCATATTTATTTATAAATATATAATTTATAAATACTAGAAATACACATAATAATTATATTATAAATATATATATATGGCAGTCAGTTCAGTACTTCAGTTAATTGCCAGTTCTTCATATTGGTTGATCGAAACTAAACTGGTACTTTCAGTTTTTCAAAAATGCCGAACCAAAACCAAACTGACCAGTTCAGTTAACTGAAATTTTTGGTTTGGTTTTGTCAGTTCAGTTCAGTTTTTCGGGTTTTTGTTTTTGGTTTTTTATGAGCACCCCTACTTTGCTTAGTGACCTACAATGTGAGTAAATATCAAGGCAAAAATTGCTTGGAGTTGTTGAGTTGTGTACCTTATGCCATATGTTGGGTAAGTCCATAAAGAAAGAAATAGGAGGATTTTTGAAGAAAAAGAGAGAAGAGATCAAATAGTACTATTTGCAGTAAAAGAATTATTGAGTGGATTATCATTTTACCAGAATTTGAACTTTTGAAGGAGTCTCCAAAGAAAAGCTTGGAAGTGGTTTTTGGTCTTTACTAGAGTTGAGAGTTGAGAAACTGTTTTTGAGGTATTCTTCTTTAACTTGTATTGTTTTTCTATTTGCTGGGGACCTCTTGGTTTTTGATGATCTCTCATCACCGGTCTGGATGTACTTTTGAAATTTTATTAATAAAAAATTCCTCTTTTTTATAAATGATTGAAAATTTATTCATAATAATCAGAATGATATTACAATACAGCCTGCCCAAAGGAGAGGCACGAGCTGGTACCTCTCCACAACAACAACAAAGTACTACCTCAGACTAGGAAAAGAAAGTTTACAGCGCTGCCCAGAATAAATGTTCCCTTGTTTAGTTAACCTATCCGCTATGGTATTAGCTGTTCTACCCATCCACTGATAATTAACAGTCATGTTACCAAAAAATAAAATATAACAATTAAAAAATAGAAAAGTAAAATTTGTCAAAGAAAGAAATTCCAACTTAGACCCATGAATTAAGGCCATAGTATATAAACATATTATAAAATATAGCATAGATGACGGAACATGTTGTACTAGGTAAAGATCATATAGAACTCATTGCCTTGGGGAATTGTGATCCCAGACTAGATATTTCTGCCTAAACGCCTTGAGCTAACAAACAAGGTACCCACTTAAGCAACAAAAATGACATGGTGAGCACCTTATTATATACCATTCATATTGTTATATCTTACAAATATGTGTGATTACATTCTATTATATACTATACATCATTTATACTTTGTTTAAAAGTTTTACTATCAAAATTTAAAAGATCAAAGAGTTTTTTTTTTTTTGATCAATAACACCAGCTTCATTAAATTAAGAGAAAAGAGGAAGTATGTATACAAGAGGGGAGATAAAATATCTTAGCTCCCCAAATACAGAATACAAAGAGAATATAGAGAGAAAAAATTAAAAAATAGCCCAAAATACAGACTCCCTATTCACCCCTTGCTTGGCCAACCCATCCGCAAATGAGTTGGCACTCCTCTTCACCCAGTTGTATTGGATCTCAATGTCCCTACACATCCATAAGAACTGCTTCTTTTCATTGTTAAAGTTCCACAAACCACTGTCCTCTTTCTTCAACCAGTTAATCACCACCTTCGAATCACCTTCCAGGATCAATCGGCTGACATTTAATTCCTTTGCTCTTTGAATTCCTTCAAGCGCTGCAAGGATCTCAGCCCTAAGAGAGTCACCTTCTCCAATAGGGCCAGAAAATAGAGCAATAACAACCCCTTCCTAGTTCCTGAAAACTCCTCCATCAAAGTTCAACTTAATGAAACCCAAGGGGGGAGGGGACCAAGAGGGACAAAGAGTCCTCTTGCATCTAGCAGTGGAAGATATCTCTTTCCAGTTTCTTAGCAAGTCATCCATAGGAAAGTCTGAAAACAACTCCAAAGATTTCAGCCAGTGGGCAGCCCTTAAAAGAATTAGGTCTAATAGTTCTTCCAGGGTTCTTTCCTTGTCTAAAAAAATACGTGAATTTCTTTCTTCCCACAATGACCAGCACATTGTTGCCCTAATACTCCTCCACATAGTCTTCCCCCACTTCTTAGGCCATCTGAAAAAAGAATGAGAGAACATCCTTTCGACACTCTCTGGAGGAAACCAAGAACACTCAAAGCGGGAGAAAACCCACTCCCAAACAGTTTTAGCAACCTTATAAGAGACCATGAGGTGGTAGTCGGATTCCCCATTGGCTTTACAAAGAGTACATCTATTAGAAAGTAGACAATAGTTGGGTCTCTTTCTTTGAAGCAAGTCAAATGTATTAATTCTTTCCAACAAAACTTCCCAACAAAAAAAGCCAACCTGAGGAGGAATAAGCCTGCTCCAAATTTCTTTAGCCGGAAAGGACAACCTGAAGGGGACAGGAGGCTGAGTTAAGGTTTCAAAAAACAAAGCACAAGAAAAAGTACCAGAGCTAGGAGTCCAAAATCTGGTGTCTTCCTTAGCAGGATTTAGGAAAACATTCTCAAGGGAGGCAAGCAAAGATACCAAGCTATCCAAGTCTGTATCCCTAATTGCCCTACGCAGGCCTAGGTTCCACCCAAAGCCAGAAGTGGAATCTGAAGGAACCAAGAAAGAAGAGATAGGTTACCACTTACCAGAGTTTAGACCATACCTTATCCAAGGGGAGAAGACGGGAAGTAGATTGTGAATGGATTTCCAAGGAGAAGTAGTTGTAGCCCTTGCCATGATTCCAGGATCCCAACCATTGTCTTCCATCCCATGTATGCTAGCCACAATCTGAGTCCACAATTTATCCCTTTCCACTGAAAACCTCCACAACCATTTCCCCAGCAGAGCCATATTCCTTTTCTTGAAGTTACCAATCCCAAGACCTAGTTTTTTACACCTAGTAACCACCTTCCAACTCACCCTATGATCTCTCTTCTCCTCTCCAGGCTCCCACAAAAAATTCCGTATTAATTTTTCCAAAAGATTGGAGACCTTTGAGGGTATCTTAAACACTGACAAATAGTAGACAGGTAGGTTGACAAGGGTAGACCTAATAAGAGTGACTCTCCCTCCTAGAGAAAGATAATTTCTCTTCCAAGCCGCCAGCCTCTTCTCAAATCTCTCCACTACCGGATTCCAGAAGCTTACATTCTTAGGATTGTCCCCTAAAGGGAGGCCCAAGTATGTCAAGGACCAGTCTAAGATTGCACATCCTAGCTCACCTGCATATTCCCTTAGGTCCCTTACATCCACATTCACTCCCACCACACAGCTCTTATCAAAGTTCACCTTGAGGTTAGAAATCTATACAAAGAGACGTATTGCCAACTTTAGATTTCGGATCCAATTAAGGTTTCCTTCTTCACAGAACAAAATTGTGTCATCTGCAAACTGTAGATGTGTTAAAGGAACCTCCTCCCTTCCTACTCTCCACCCTCTTATCAGATTCTTCGAGTCTGCTCTATGGATCAATCTCCCAAAAACATCAGCAATCAGGGAGAAAAGAAAAGGGGAAAGAGAATCTCCTTGTCTTAGGCCTCTCAACGTAGGAAAGAAGTCAACCACAGTGCCGTTTAGCAGGTTAGAGTAATGACAGGGGTCCTGACACAGCCCCAAATCCACTTACACCATCTACCTCCAAAATCAAAGCTCCTCAAAACCTCCAACAAGAAAGACCAATCAACCAAGTCATAAGCCTTCTCTAAGTCCAATTTACAGACCACACCCTTCTTCTTTGACTTCCTAAAACTCTCCAAGCTCTCATTTGCAATGAGAATCTAATCGGTGATCTGTCTTCCCTCCACAAATGCACCTTGGTTGGGTGCAATAATAGAGGGAAGCACCTTCTGTATCCTAAGAGACAGCACTTCAGCAATAATTCTGTACAAGCTAGTAACCAGACTGATAGGTCTAAAATCCTTTGGTTGAGAAGCCTCCTTCTTCTTTGGGACCAAAGCAATGAAAGTTGAGTTCAGACCCGGATTTATTATTCCCCTTCTATGGAACTCCTCAAAAACTGATATAAGATCATTCTCCAGTATATCCCAACAATCTTGGTAAAAGGCCATTGTAAAACCATCTGGACCCGGAGCTTTTGTCCTATCCATTGAGAATACTACTTCCTTTATCTCCTATAGATCAAAACTCCTTTCTAACCACTCTCTCTTCTCTGCACTTAGAGTCGGCCAATCCAATCCCTCCAACCACACTCTCCCATTCAGAGGTCTTCTAAAAATAGATTTGAAGTGGTTAACTAGAGCCTCTACAATTTCTACTTGGTGGGACAACACTGCTCCTTCAACTTCCAAACTAGAGATGAAATTCTTCTTTCTCCTCCCATTTGCCACTGAATGGAAGAACCTAGTGTTTTTGTCTCCCTCCTTGAGCCACTTACACCTGGATTTCTGCCTCCAGCTGATTTCCTCCTTAACCAGGATGTCCTCCATCTGCTTTCTCAACTTCCTTTCTTCCTCTCCAAAGGAGCCTCTCTCTTCCTTCATGTCCAAATCCTCAATCTGCTCCATCAACACTTGTTTTCTCTCTTCTATTCTTCCAAGCTCTAGCTTACTCCACTCCTTTAATTGTGATTTTAAGTATTGGAGTTTCTTGTGAAACCTCATTCCCTCCCATTCAATTGTCGGATTAGTTTACTCCCACCACTCTCTGACCTTCTCAATAAAACCCGGATGAGTCAACCACATTTTCAAACCTGAATGGGGTAGGACCATCTCCTCTCATTTCCTCCTTGACCAACACTAAAGGCCAGTGGTCTGAAGTAAGTCTTGGAAGAGCTCTAGAAGTTAGATTACCCCAATGTTCCTCCCAATCTGTTGAGAACAAAARTCTRTYCAACKTARAGCAAAWTKGCCTAGATTGAAGGTTGGACCAAGTGAAGTTATTATTTAGGAGAGGAATTTCTTTAAGTTCAAAAGAGTCCACAAATTGGTTGAACTTCCTCATACTTGTTGTCACTCTCTATCCGGGATTGTTATTTCCTCTGTAAATCTCACTATATTAAAATCCCCACCCACACACCAAGGACCTTCCCAAAAGCCTCTAATATCACTCAATTCTTCCCAAAGTTTCTCCCTCTGCCTATAGTCATTGGGGCCATACACGTTTGTTAGTAACCATTCATACCCATCATCCACCTGTCTGAACTTTAGGGAGACAGAATGATCTCCGATTAGCTCCTCCACTCCTAGGAGTAATTCTTCTTTCCACAAGATCACAATCCCTCCTGAGGAACCCCACGAGGGAGCAGCCACCCACTTTATTCCCTTGGATCTCCACACACTCCTAGCCCATCTGCAATCAAAGTCCATTCTTTTGGACTCCTGAAGCATTACCACATCCGGATTAAACTTCTTAATTACCTCTTAATAGTTTTCTCTTCCTCGTGCTGCCCAAACCCCTCTTTTTTTAAATAACAGCTCCATCCTTGTTCTTTTTTCTCTTTTACTTTCCATATTGAAATTTTCAAATAAAGTTGTAGCATTTTTTCGTTGCTAAATGATATGAAATTGTTCTATTATACACTAATTATATTAGTATTATTTTTGAAAATATTCAATTAATATATTTAAATGTTTTATCTTTTAAATATGATGATTTGTGTTGCTATGTTTTGAGAGGAAATTTTATGTTCTTAATAAAGAGAATTGGTACTTTTCAATTAATATGCATGCTAAATGGAATATAAAAACAGGAGTTAGCCAAAAGTTCTCTTTATTTTATAAAATTCTTATCACCTAGGCAACTACATGCCTCAATGTCCCCCAGAATCGGCTAAACACCTTGACAACTATGGTTGGCCTCTATCATTGTTGCCCTTCCCTTCCCACATTATTTTGGGTTAGAATGTGTTTTTCAGATATACATTTTCAATAAATTACGTTGATCTCATTAATAATCCAAAAGAATATTCATATTAAATCATATAGTACAATTAATTTCAGCATCAGATGCAATATAGGAAGCATCCCCTCAACATGCCTGGGATTACCACTGGGTGCTAGATTCATATTGAAGCCCATTTGGGAGTGGACAATTGAACAATGAGACCAGCCTCTTGAAAAATCAGATAATTATCAAAATGAGATTAACTAACTCTGCTTTAGCAAATTTTCCCATTGATTTCTTTCCCTATTTTCTAGTCCTAATTGAAATGGTCTATAGGCTTGATACTGGAAAAGTTCTAGAGTTTTTTCTTTTTCTTTCCATAGTTTAAAGGATTAATTGAACTTCACTTGATGGACTAGAGAAGGATTGCTCTATGAAAATGAAAGGAACCTAGCCCAAGACAACTAAGGAAGGTTAATTGATCTCTTCTTGGAAAATGATGATGGAGATTCAGCAACAATCCCCACAGAAAAAATAAAAAAGTATGGCACTGGGCAACTAGGGTGGGATCCAAGTGAAGTCCCAAATTTCCTATGGTTGTCCAATGTGGAAGGGTATTGGAAAGCCTAATCCTTTCTTCATTCAGGCATCAAATACAGATTAGGAGACGGTGCCAGGGTCCAGTTTGGTACAGTCCCTGCAATAATCTTCCAATTTTTTAAAGTAAAATAGAAATTCTCATTACAAAAAGAGGATACAAGAGGAAGGTGATAAGACACCACCTAAGAGAAAGAAACAACCCTCAAACAAACAGCCACCACCTACCACCAAGGTTTTACAGAAACAAACTTGGACAAAACCACCAAAAACTCAAGAAACAAAACTGCCCGAAACCAAGAACAGCTCCCTCGGAGATATTTCCAGCCCCTAATGCTTATGCCACTAATAGAGAAAGGTTAATTAAAACTTATTATGGGTGGGTCCTAATGGAGCAATTTGGCACCCTAGATTTTGGATAAATAATTGGAGATCAATGACTTCACAGCATTCATGCTAAAATTTCAAGGAAAATCCACCCCAGAAAAAAAAATAAAAGATCTATCCAGCCCTTAATGTTAATGCCCACTGACAGAGAAGGGATAATCAAACATCATTATAAGATAGGTCCCACTGAAGCAATTTAAAACAAGGAATGCTGCCAGCTGCCCCACCCCCACCAAAAGAAAAAAAAACAAGGCTTACCAAAAAGATTCTAGGGTTGCTCTTGGAACCAATCCAGATGTTTATACTTTGCAACCACATAGGGAAGATTCCTCTCAAGCTCAAATGGAACCCAGACACCTACTATACTTGTCAAGGTGTCTAGGTGTATTCTGGGTGGCAGTAAGGCACCTAGTCACCCAAGTCACCTAGGTTGCCTAGGGCAATAAGAATTTTATAAAAATAAATAACATTTTGCTAGTTCCCTAGTCTTATATACCATTTAGCAAACATATTGATTGAAAAACAAAAATAGTTTAATAAATCAATATTTTCAAAAACAATACCAATATAATATGTATATAATTTCATAACAATTAACAAGTAAGGAAGGATATAATTTTATTTGGTAAGAATTTAAGATATAAAATAAAAGAGAAAGGGAACAAGAATGGAGCTGCTATTTTATTTAATGCAAGAGAGAGAGAGAGAGAATAGAAAAAGAAAAACCAAAAATGAAAGAAATCTCTTTATAATTCTATTCTTTCTTTATTTATTTATTTCTTTTTCTCTTCTTAAAACTCTTTTATCTTTTAAATTTCAATAGTAAAACTATAAAACAAAGTATAAATGATATATACTGTATATAATAGAATGTATTAACACATATGTTAATAAGATGTAGCAATATCTCCCACCTTGTTTATTTTTGTCACCTAGGTGGGTACCTTATTGCCTACGCAGGTGCCTAGTCACCTAGGCAACGCCTTGACAACTATGGCAACTACAAAGATGGCCTTCATGGTTCTAAGCAGGCATATTTCCAAATTTCCTCTGCGTTTTATAGCAAGAAACAGATGAAACAACAGACCACCATTTTCTTCATTGCAATTTGCAAGTTAAGGTTCATACTATGGGCCTATATTATGGAAATTTTTAATGTTAGGTATAATATTGCACAAATTTTACGATTTATGATACAATTTACAATCTGAATCATGAATTTGAATTGTTCCAATTGAATAAGATTTTTGCTTGTTTCTACAATTTGATTCATGAATCTTACAATTTACACGATCCATGTGATCCAAATCAAGTTAATTAAGAATTAATTATCCACTATCATTTACTTATTTCTATTTAGTTTTGTCAAGGGAGAGTCTGGAAACGTTTTAAAGCTCTAACTTCTAATCATTTATTTAGGTTATTTAAGATCAGATGTTGAGTTTATTTTCCGTCATATGTAGGTTAAAGAACCATTGTATGTGGGTTATTTGATTTTCAAGTCAAACTTGATTATATCATCTTAAAGAGCACAGACCTTCTGGTTACCTATGAGTGGGATCCATTTCTAGATCCCCAATAAAAATGCACCTTCAAGCGTGTAAGTACAAACTGTCGCATGAATTCAAAACACAGTTTGTATGTATATGCTCGAAGGTGCATTCCTATTGGGGATCCAATAATGGATCCTGCTAATGATTCATGATTTATATAATGACACATACATGCATACATATATATTTATATAATGATTCATGATTTGATTTGATTTGATTCGATTTTCTCTACTACAAAGTACAATTTTCAGAACATAAGTTGTGATAAATTCAGAACATAAGTTATGTGGCCCTCCCAAGAAAATTAAGGAAGCTTTCCATAGTTGCCATACTAGGAAGTAAAGGAGCAAATTTGTCAAGAAACTTTGACCAGCAAGCTACCCTCTAAAATATAATTCATCCATATCAAAATGATATAATCAAACCAAATAGGTAAAAGTTATTTTCYAATGTGAAAATCCCTATCCTAGTAAAAATTCCTCATTATGAAGGAAGAAGTAATTGAGTAAAAAATACCCGAATTAGCTAGTCCAGATTTTGATTGCATTATTCCATGTCCATACATTGATGAAGGATCCATAGGCAGAGATCTTTGAGCCACACCCAAGTTAACTTCACCTTTAATGTCCTATAATGCCAAAATGTAACCAAGACAAAACAATGTAATTAATTCAAAAGCTGCAGGAATAGATGCATAAAACCTAAAAATGGGAAAGCAGTAAAAGGAAGAAAATATAGTTCAAGTAGTTACAGTGGTCTGTTGAGTCCGTGCCTGCATTTGCTGCAATGCAGCAGACACTCCTCCAGAATTACCTTGGACCAAGGGACTGTGCCAGCAATAAGAGCAAAAGAAATGAACATGCTACTAACTCAAGGTCACAGGCACATACATAAGAAGATATACACAAGAAAAGGTCTATGACTGAAGCCATTACCCTGCATGATTAGTTGCCGATTTCAAAAGGGCCATCCTGCTAGCATCAATAAATTGTGGGGATGTCTCTGAATCCATCGAGTGGGGATGTTTCATACGTTCTTCATACATTTTTGCAGCCAAAACAGTGGCCGTAGACTGACCCAGCATTCCTTCAGAGTTCATAGAATTTATTGGACCACCAAGAGTAGGACCATCCCTTCGTTGTAATTGAGCATGCCTTTGCTGCATGAGTTGCAACTGCTGCATTTGGAGCTGTTGTTGGTGCTCTCTTGCCTTCATTTGTTGTGCCTATGCATCGTTCAGAAATTCTGGGAAGGTTCAGCTAACCACTCCCCTAAAATACTCCAATCAAAAGAAATGCCTAATTGAAAGAAGAGATAAAATTATTGCCATATTTAAAAAGCACCTCTATATATGCTGCAGCAACCTCGGAATGTTTCTCATTCGTCCTCGCAATAAAGATATCCCAAAAGACAGACCACCATTCAAATAGAAATCCTCCAGGTGCATCAATTGCTGCATATCGAACTCCAATCCATGAGCTAGATAAAGGGCCGACTTCAAATACTTTAATTATCCTCCTTAGATGCTCCAATTCAATCACAGAAAGAACTATCAAATATGCATAATGGTCCGTAAAGCATCAGAAAAAATTATTACCTACTGGATCTGCAGCAACCTTTCCTTCAGCCATGAAAGCCTTTGCAGAAGCATGCAGATTTCTTTTTAATAAATAATCGTAAATATAAACATCAAGCCTGGCAGGTAAATGAAAAAACGATAAAAAATTGGTAAGCTTTAACTGTAAAAAAAAAAAATTGACTTTCAAGAGAAAAACAGATAAATTAGAACAGTGCAATACATCTTATCCGCTTCCCAGTTGCTCTGAGCCATGGTTGGATTCCACCACTGGCAAAAGAAACATAAAATAGAAACTGAAGAACCGATGAGAAGAGCTAAAACAATGGCAAGTAGCTCCTGCAGTCAACAACAACTTCGCGTCATTGATCTCGGGAGGAAGAATTCAACCCACTTCAATCCGGAGAAGAAGATTGAGCAAAATCAAAACAGAAATTTCGCAAAAAGATGAACAAAGAGACTTGCTTTCAGCAAAAACTAACCTCAGATCCCACTATCTACACGGATCAAAGCCTACATTACTGATCCTGGCTTCCATCCAAATTTGATCTCCATATTCAAACCCTATTTCAAACTCTAGGAACTAAACGAACACCAAATTAATCAAAACAAGCAAGCAACTCAAACATAAAGTTGTGATCTTCAAAACAAATTCCAAAAATGAATGCCTTTCGAGCAACAATCATGATCCAAACTCATACCCAGACTGCTCAGACAGTTTAAACTCTCGAATTTATACTCAATAAAAATCAGAAATTTCACAGCTTAACTAAAGTGAAAATTCATTCAACGTAGACATTTTATATTAAACAGACAATGATTTAGGGTTTCTGATCAGAGGTGAGAACAGCTCAAGTAGCAGCAGGACCTTTAACCGGCAAACGAAAGCMAAAAAAAAAAAAAAACATCTTTTGACATTCACCGCCTGGCCAGAAGTCAAAAATCAAAAATCAAACCGAGTTCCTTGATTCTTTCTCCACTGAACTCGATATCAAATATCCGACGAGCTTGTGGTTCGGGTTCCGCGTCTGTTTTGTACTTGTACGCCAGGTGTCTCCGCTTTGGTTTTTAGTTTAGTTCGGGAAGTAGATTGTAGCTTCGGATAGGGAGATGATCGATGTTTAATAGGTCCGGAGCCGTAGCTATTACGTATGTTAAACATCGAATGGGTTTTCGAGAAGAGAAACGGTCGTTTGCTTTGTCTGAGCGGCAGAGAGAAAATTAACGTGTTCGATGTTTAACGGGTGGGGTCGCCTAGTAATTAATTAGTAGGAAATTGGCGGGTGAATGTTGCTCTTTTGGCCATCATTGGTTTTCTACGTTGGATTTCAGTTTTCTCTTTTGAAGTTAAATTGACTTTTATGCCCTTATAGTGTGAATTTACCGAAAGTCAACCGGAGAAACAGAGTCCGCGTTCTGTGCACCCGTCGGTGCACTGGATGCGTGAAACCGCGAATGGGAGAATGACACGTCGATCAGGCCAACATTAACGTCCGTTTGAGCGTTAACCTTGTATGGTTGATTCAATCGGATGCTTCACGCGGATACGAACCGGTCTAGCACAAAAGGGCCTCATTTCACTGGGAGCTTCTTCCACCGAACCCTACTCATACACCAAACCCTTCCTCCATCAGCGGCGATAGAGTTCCGGCGGTTCATCAACGGCGACAAAAAACCTCCAGCGGCGACATATTCTTCTTCTCCTCTTCTCTTCTTCTTCTACTCTTCATTCTTCTTCTTCGACAAGTAACTCTCGTGGTAGGACCGACGATCATTTTTCTTCTTCTTCGTCTTATCTGATCATAGGTCCGATTCGAAGGACGAACAGGTACAGGTGATAGGACCGGTACTGAAACACAGTAATAGATGAGCGTGAGTGAGGATTCCACACCAGAAACAAAAAAGTGAACTACATTTGATGCTAGTATACGGTCCTAAACTTGATTATATATCAACAAAAAAAAAGGAAAAGAAGAATGAGAGTATTCAGACCGAATATCTAAGCATCATATGGCATATAGACCTGTTCATGGGCCGGGCTGGACCGAGTTCGGGCCGGACTTTCACTTGTCATTAAGGGAAATATGCTAAGCCCGAGTCTGAGCCCGGCCCAACTAACGGGTCTATAACTTGGGCCCAAGCCTGGCCCTGATAAAAAGCTCGAACCCGAGCCCGAAGCCCAACCTAATAAAAAAAAAACAAGTTTCCCTATTCAAATTAGAATTAAAAATTCAGATAGTTTTTTTTTTCCTATTTAAATGAACAATAGGCCTACAATATGGTTTTTTCCCCTTTTCTTTTATATTTTAAAACACAGTTTTACATTCTTAAATCAAAAAATTGATTCAAATGGACATAATCACATTACTCACTTTAAGTCTAATATTAGGTCGGGTCGGGTCGGGCTATTTTAACAAAACCCGAGCTCGGCTCGAATTTATTGCGAGCCAGGCTTTTTGGCCCGAATTTAAGCCCGCGGGCCTATAACCACATTCAAGGCCATCCGGGGGCCGGGCCGGCCCATGAACAGGACTAATGGCATATGGTAGATGCAGCAATTGCTTATCCGTAGGAAATTTTAGGGTTTAACAACATCAAAAAACAGAGCATTCAGAGATTAGGGATTTGTTGAATTTGTTGAATTTTTCGAAATGATTGGTTGCATCCATCCATCCAAATGTTTTGTAGGCTTATCTCAACAGCAATACCTTAATTTCCAAATTGAGATTTCCTATAGACATGTACAGCAAACTGAGATTTCCTACAGACAGGAACAACAAACAACAAAAATGAAAAAGATCTTACTATACAGTTTTATCAATAAGCCTGCATCAGAACAACAAAACCAAAGATGAAATTAAACAAAAAAGAAGAAGAGAAGAGTTAAAAGGTTGGTCATCGCCGCCTACCATCAGAGAAGACGATAAAAAGAGGAGAAGAAGAAGAAGAAAAGARTAGGAGAAGAAGAGAGAAGAGAGAAGAACACATTGCCACCGAAGGTCTCATTGTCATCGTCGATCAACCACCGGAACTCTGTTGTCGCCAATGGAGGAAGGGTAGGGTTCGGTGGTAGGAGTTCTCCAAGGGAAACAAAATCGAAGAAATGAGACCCTTTTGTCTGTGTTCCAGACTGATTCGTGTCCGCATGAATCGGTTCATGTCCGCGTAAACCATCCGATTGAATTGACCAGACCACGTTAACGCTCAAACAGACGTTAACATTGGCTTGGTTGACGTGCCATTTTCTCATTCGCAGGTTCATGCGTCCAGTGGGGTACATAGAACGTGGACTCGAAAAAACATGCGTTAGGCATAGCAGAATTCGGGTTTTATTTGAACCATATGGCACGATTCGTTCGGCCAAAACAATCCTTCTTCCTTCCCTTCACATAGGTACGTACGGCCTGAGGCTTAGAAGTGTAATGTGGGTCAGCTCACATTTTCATGCCGCCCGCACTCGACCGGCCAGTGAAGGTTGGGGTGGGGCCAGACAAGCCCTGGCCCACTGGCCTTGGGCAGGAAGGGCCGGTAGGGACTAACCCGTATTAAACTATCCCTAAAGTTTAGGAAATTGATCTAACTCTACCCCTACTATTTGACTATTGTCTAATACTACCCCCTATTGTTTTGGAAAATTGTTATTGCCGTTAAAATATTGATGGAAGGGCTGAAATGTCTATTTTGCCTTTAAATCAAATTAAAATCTTCAGTTCTTCATCTTCTTCAGTATGGTCTTCGCTGACCAAGTGTCTAGTACTCATCGATCGACGATCTTCTTCACCCACCCCCTTCCCCTCATCAGGATCATCTAGCCCGTCACAAATCTCACTGTCAGACATTCAGCCTGTAAGAGAAAATCTAGAAGAATTGGCCACCATGAATCTCACCGCCCAGGTCCAGTGTTGTGTCCAACGTATCTTGGCAGCTACGGACAATAGGAGCCCAAAGTGGAAGGTTTCCCATTCCACACGCACACACACACACACACACACACACACATATATATATATATAAAGAGAGAGAGAGAGAGAGAGAGGTGAAAGGGCATCACTGGTGAGTTTAAACAGGGTTTGGGAAAACGATGTGCTGGAACCCAAGTGGGAAGAGGGAATCACTAGCGAGGGCAGCCATTTTCGGTTGGATATGTTTTTTCATTTTCGTCGGGATGTGCCTTGTAACAGAGCAACAAAGAGAAAACCCATGGAGGTAAAAGAAAGAAGTAAACAGGGTTCCAACCAGCYAGGATGCTGAGATGACGAAGAGAGGAAGGAGAGAAGAGGGAGTGAGAAGGATGGATGAAAAATGAAGGGGGTGTGAAGATCATCATTGTCAGACACAATTGATGACCTCAATCTAGACTGCTCCCTATTTCTAACAATAGCATCAAACACCGCTGACGAAGCAGATGACGAGAAGCAAGAGCTCGTCTTCAAGGAACATGAGCAGGAGTATGTGCAAGTCCTTTATATGCTCAGGAACGAAGATCTATCGGGTGAGATTTGACCATGTTAGTGGCATTTCAAGGTGAGATCTAGCCATAGATCTCGTTAATGACATTTTAGAGAATTTTGGCTCCGACGACTTGTGTCCAACTACGACGACTTATGGTAGAGAATCCTTCTTTCCTCCCCAACCATCATCAGCAACCACCGGTAACATTAAATAGGTGTGTGCATTTTTCTCCCTTCGATGGTCTCTCTTCCCCACTCTCGAAACTCTCCACTAGCTTACTCAGCTATTGTTGTAGCCTGTACAAACTGCTTTCATCTCCTTCGAACAAACGAAATCAGTTAGTTGTGGAAAATCCATTAGTCCACAAAAAAATCATAGTCTTCTTTGTAATCTTCTCTACAACTTTGTTTTTTCTTCAATGTTTGTGATCCCATTGTCTCTTTTCACCTTCTATATGCACCATACAATGCTCTCCTCTTCGGCTTCCCTTCTTTCAGTCTCCTCATTTTTTGGCTCATCAAAGCCATGCTCGTCGTTTCCTCTTCGCCGCAACTATTCTCATCAAATTAAGCCTCTTTGAGCTTCTAGTGGGATGATAACTGAGATTTCAAGCATAAGCGTTGATAACAATGAGTATGATGACTAGATCAAAGCTCGCAATAGGATCGATCTTCTTCATATCATTACTAGAGTATTGAAAATCGAGAAGGCCTTTGTTGAATTTGAGGGCGGATTCTTTGTTAAGAAGTTCTTCGTGACTGACTCACATGGGAGAAAGATTATCGACCATGGCAGCTTGGATAAGATCCAGAACGCTTTGATGGAGGCTATTGATGATGGTGATTGAGTTTTTTCAGTGTCCTCATCAATGCTTTCGAGAGGGATTGTTCTGCGAAGAAGATGGTAAGGACCGAGCCAGCTTGGTTTGCTGCTATTGAAAGGAAGAAGATGGTAAGGGTAAAATTGGGTTTTAAAAAAAGTATATGCATGTGTGTACACATTTTGATGGAATATTAATAGACGGTAACAGTAAGGGTAGAGCTAGTCAATTGTTAGAAGCAATAGGGGTACTTTAAGACAATACTGAAACAGTAGGGGTAAAATTAAACAATTTCCTAAACCTTAGGGGTAGTTTAAGAAATTTGCCATTATTTTTTTACTTCACTTCAAAAAATTAAATACTCAAAAAACTATAAAAAAATAATGAAAATTTTAAGGAGAAAATGACACGTTGCAACAATAATTTGAAAAAAAAGGTTATCTTAAAATTTTATTCCACATGAATAATCAATTTATACAAAAATATAAAATGATACAATGAAATTGAAAACATGCTATAATAAAATTGAAATTAAAAAATTTACAACGGAATTGAAAAAATTACAAATAAAATTGAAAATCCCAAAATTTATAATAATTTCAAAATTCACAATAATAAAAAATTCTTAAAGTCCCACTTTCTTCTTCTTTTGGTGATACATTGGATGATGTGTCATGTCCTCATTTACATTGCAATATATCTTCTACATCCAATCAATCTTTTGGCCAAATACACACCTCCAAGGTTTCATTTTTCATCCAACTAAAGGAAGGGGAAATCCATCATATGGATGGCCGAACCGTGCTTGATGGTATGGCAAAATTTCAAAAATTTATTTTTACCCTTACAGGAATCGTATTCATAGTTTTAGAAAAACTGCATTTTTCAATGATCATTATTGTATCAAACCAGACGAGATCTGAAACAAAAGAAAGGGAGAAGAATGCCTGATATGGAATCCACACGTGTAGTT